TAAAGTCTAGTCAGAAACAGACCTAGAGGGAGCATTTAACGATTATAGTTTTCCTTGCATTACTATTTTGAAATGCAGTTTTTCCAATATGTAATACTCTCTATTTTACGTCTTCATTATTTTTGCAATAAAGGATTCCCTGAATCACGAGCTGCCAAGGGAGGAAGAGTGCTCCTGCTGAGATTTATCCGAGGGGGGTTGACGAGGCTGCCCGGCCGCGCTCGGCTGCAATGTTACTCGTCGATTGCAGCTGCAACGATCGGCCACAACGACTGCGATTATAAGGAACACGCAGCTCGTAGAACTCTCCTCGCCTCCGTGGGCTCAGGACAACGAATACTCGCGTCGTTATTATTCCGAGGAGACCCTCCTGTGAATGGGAATCGAGGGAAACCTTCGAATTTCTCTTCATAGACGACGCTTTTTTGATGCGCGTCGAACATTGGTTTCCATAAAAAAGACACGCGATTATCGTAAGTCGGAAGAAAAGAGATTGTTACAAATGAATGCAAAACAGGCGAGTTATGTACATACGGAGGAGACGAAAGATACCAAATACGTAAACATGTATTCAATACGTTAAGCGTCACATATATACACGTACAACCATATACTTTGCAAGATGATCTCGTCAAGTAAACTTCCTAATTGCGTGATGGGGCAGAAATTTGTAAAATTATTGAATCACTCGTTAATGTGGATCTTCGAATTAATCAGAGTGACATAGCTCGTGAAATCAACGTTAAAAACGTGGATACGTACTTGGAAATTCCAGATTGGGAAAAATATGTTTTTGTGGTGTACATACATTTGACATTTATAAAAGTATAAGAAATGCGAGTAGTCTTGTCTTCGACATAAAGTAAATCCCTGGTTGAAGACAGTACAGCCGTATTGTCCTATTTATTTAAACGATTAAGGATTCCAACGGAATCGATACGGATACGAAGGGTACTAATACGAAGGGCTGTCAAGTAAAATGTTACACTGTAATATCGATGTAAAAATCTCCGTAGGCTGATCGTCTACCTCGTGACTCTAACCAAAGAGGCGACGATCTATGAACTTGATCCTCATTGGTGCACCATCACTATCGTAAAGTGGACAGCGATAAATGCGTCTTAGGGAATAGGAAAGTGGGGGAGAAGAAAGGAAATAAAAAGAGCACGAGCCCTTTTTTATTTTTCTTACAACGACGACGTATTTTACGTGCGCGTAGCGTATGAAAGTCAGCCACTATGTATCTGTACGTGAAACGTAATAAAGGCGTGTTTATGGAAGGTAGTGTATTACTACTTCATACTTCCCTTCGATAGTTATAAAATCATTTAGAATCTCATAAACTCGATAAATACTTAAATTTCGAACACTTGTAGGAAAACCCTTCAATGTCTCATACAATAATCTCTTTTTAAAAAAAATAATTGGCTCTCCGTTTCTTTATATCTCTTAATTTATCTAGCGTGTAAATCAATCGAAAGTGGTACATCACTTACGGTGGTCTAGCTTCAATCTAAGTCTAATTGAAGAGCAAGTTGGCATTATATTGTTGGCTGTCTCTCCCTTCCTTCCCATTTTGTGCATCGTTAATTTTCTGGTGTCGACGTTATTCTCAGGAACATGTGCATCGTACATCGAGATCTCTGCGCTGGCAACGAGATCTCTGCGCTGGACATCAAAATTGTCACATTTCAGAAAGCGTCATAGTTTTCTCAGTAACATCGGCGGTGCGGCGGCTATATATACGCCCGTACATACGAGTATGCGGAGTAAATAAGCACAGCATAAACGACGGCACAGTGTTAGACTAAGCGTGCATATGCGAACACGCAGCCAAGGAAAGAGGGTGACAGTCCGATTCGCGTTGGATGACAATTCGCGCATGGAACTCCGACGTCGCACGTACCCCAATCATACCCCGTTTGTCCTCGCTTTGTGTTCCTCGTGACTTCCTAACACGAAACAATGTCGAATTACTCGTATTATTACGTGAAAACTATCGTCGAAGATGGTCATCCGCCAAAAACATATAAATTTGCGAAAGGGTAAGCCGTCACGCTCTAATTTCTGTAATAAGTTTTGCGCTTGTTTGCGATACAAGATGAGACGAGTAACATGTGAAACATCAGCGCTATCATATGTTTCGATAAGAAAGGTTGTTTAATGTAAATTTTTCTTTTTAATTGTGAATATTAGACCCTACACAGAAACAAAAAATTTGCTATAAACGCTAATCTTATGCCATACGGCAAATTATTTGCAGGTGTAACAAATATTTATCCTTTTTTGTACTCGCTATAAAAATTATTTGCAACAAATATTTGCAAAATATTTATCAAATATACAAATTTATTTGCTATAAACAGTAAACAAATTTGACAATTAAATTTTGTAATCCCTTTTGAGTTTATAGCAAATTTTTTCTTTCTGTGTATTTTCTTGGAAATTAGATTGACGAGTCAATTCTGCAGACAAAAAGAATTAAAACAACATAAATTTAACAAAACTATAAAGCAAACATTTGCGGAGCAGTCTTTGAATAACTTACAGAAAAATAATTAACTTGGTCTCTTAAATCTTTATTTAGCAATTATATTTCAATTAATTAATATCAATTTATTTGTTTTGATATTTGTCTTATATCAAATTTTGTATTTAATTTAATCTTATATTTAATTTAATGAAAAGATTGGTATTGGTTTCTTTTTTTAATATTTTTGAGGCTTGCACGAGTACTTTCTATAGTACAAAAGTTATGCGTTTCTATACAGAAGTTATGAGTTATCTACATGTCCAGATCCATTATTAGAATACCAACGTTTCGTGAACGTTGCAGTTTACTTCATGAGAGCGAAGAACAAGCCTGATCTATACTGTATCAGGCTAACATTACATTTGTCCGTTTTTATCAGACAGAGAGATTTTACGACAAATTTTTCAAATCTATTGGTTATAAGATAGAGAGATCTGATAACCTCTCTGTTCTGCAATCAATTAACACGCTCGAAAAATTTGTCGTACAACAAATGTAATATCAGGCTCCTCGCCTCACCCCGATGAAGTGAACTGCAATGTTCACGAAATGTTGGTATTCTAATAATGAATCTAGACACGGAAATAATCCGTAAAATATATGGTTTTTTTTTCTTCATTCTCTCTTATTCAGTGTTAACGCATCTTCGCCAACATTTTTTTCATTCACTAAACAAAAAAAAAATTTTGCTTAGATATCCTGTACAAGCAACCAAAGACGCGTGGTCGACATTAGGTCGTTACAATCTTTTGTCACGTTTATTACGAGGAGGGCTCTCTGGTTCTGGCGATGTGCACCATCCTGCCAATACCACTTTCAAGGTTTGTTATTATAATCTTTTCTGGCTCTAAATTTCTTAATCGCGCGTCTTCGCACTATGGGGAAAAGTTTTTTCGGATGTATCACTGGCACATCGCCAAATTCATTTTTAAATGTAAAACACGATCCCTCTCGTACGCGCGAACTATGCGTATAGTCGACATATTTTTAGGCTCGCAACATCTAACATTCTGCCCTCATGCTCGCGCCTTCGCGATGTCTGCACAACGCTTTAATGTTTCGCAATCCTTTGGAAATTGGAATTCTTTAAGAAGAATTTTGTGAAAGCTCCTATAAAGCTGAAAGTTAATTTTTTTTACAGCAGCAGTATTTCAATTAAAAAAGGATTAAATTATATAAAAAATTATAAAATATTAAAGATTTAAGAATTTTTCTTTTAATCTTATCTCCAATGTTTAAAGTCCCAAAGTTGCATTACTGAAGTTTTGTTCTGAACTGCATTCAGAATCTTCTAAATTCACCTTTATTAAAAGTTAATATCGCGACATTAAGTACTCAAAAATTAAACAACTTTAAAGAGATTTCGAAAAAGACCCATGAAATAAAATTAATTAAGTTATATGTAAATAAATTAAAAGCATTTGTAATAGTAACCTTTAACATTAAAAAATTTCAGATTAGAAAGATAAATATTCAGAAAGATAAATGTATGTTTCATTTATTGTCATTAATAGGTTCGTTGTTTGCAAACGTTGATTCACGTCTGTTGATTTAATGCCAGAATATCTTTATCTGAAGTCAAGAATTTCGTTCATGCTCGATTTTCACTGACAACGAAACTAACATGTGTGATGTCATTAAATTAGTACCTAGCTTGCTTTACTCTTCTCACTGATAACAATTGTCAATTGGTTTACAAAACAATTTACGAAACGCTAAAAATATGCATCATCAATCTGATATGGCGAAAAAGAACTGAGCTGTTCTCATAACATAATGACTCATGTAGCTTCTTCAAAATTCCCAAAATAACTTGTAGTCGGTCGAAAACGTGGCCTCAACTTAAATTTACTTAATCTTATAAGCTCTCAATATTACTAAATTATCATGAGTTTTATTTACGCCAAATTCATAAGTTAACTCATGCATCTTAAAATTAAAGAGAGATAAGAATAATATATTAATTTTTTCGAGCATATTTAAATATATACATTCGGGAAAAAATATTTTATATAAAATTATATAAAATTATACATAATTTTATATATTTGTATATAAATGGACATATTTTATATATAATT